TGTAAATGTAATCATATGGCATTTGTCTTTCTCTATCTGACTTACTCCACTCAGCACAATACCCTCTAGGTACGTCCATGTTGTTAAAGATGGCAAGATTTCATTCTTTTTTATGATTGAGTAATATTCTATTATATATATGTACCACCTCTTCTTTATCCGTTCTCCCTATTTGTTTATTTTGTTCTTTAGATTACACATGTAAATGTAATCATATGGCATTTGTCTTTCTCTATCTGACTTACTCCACTCAGCACAATACCCTCTAGGTACGTCCATGTTGTTAAAGATGGCAAGATTTCATTCTTTTTTATGATTGAGTAATATTCTATTATATATATGTACCACCTCTTCTTTATCCGTTCTCCCAGTGATGGACACCCAGGTAGCCTCCATATCTTGGCTATTGTAAATAATACAGCAATAAACATATAAATGCACATGTCCCTTTTAAGTAGTATTTTGTTTTTTTTTTCCACTAAAAAGCAAGAAGTGGGATCACTAAATCCTTCTTTGTTTCTCGTTATAATCTTTGTTTTATAATCTATTTTGTCTAGTATCAGTATTGCTAACTCAACTTTTTAAATTTTTTTATAAAATATCTTTTTCCATCCCTTTACTTTCATTCTGTGTGCGTCTTTTGATCTGAAGTGAGTCTCATGTAGGCAGCACATGTAATGGTCTCGTTTTCTTATCTATTCAGTCACCCTATGTCTTTTTATTGGAGTATTTCGTCCATTTACATTTAAAGTAATCATCGATAGATATGTAGTTATTGCCATTCTATGCATATTTTTAATCTTTTTTCTTCTTAGAGTTCCTTTAATTTTTACTGTAATACTGGTTTGGTTGTGATGAACTTTAACTTTTTCTGGTCTGGGAAGTTCTTTATCTGTCCTTTGATTCTATATAATAGTTTTGCTGGGCAGAGTAATCTTGGTGGTAGGTCCTTGCTTTTCATTACTTTGAATATTATGTGTTAATCCCTTCTGTCCTGAAAAGTTTCTGTTGCGAAGTCAGCTGACAGTTTTATGGGAGCTTCCTGATAGGTAACTAACTGCTTTTCTTTTGCTGCTCTTAAAATTCTCTTTGTCTTTAACATTTAGTATTTTAATTATGATGAGTTTTGGTGTGAGCTTCTCTGGGTTCATCTTGTTTGGGACTGTGTTTTCTGAGCTTGTATGTCTATTTCCTTCACTAAGTTCGAAATTTTTTCCATCATTATTTCTTCAAATAGGTTTTCAATTCCTTGCTCTCCTTCTGATGCAAATGTTGGTATGCTTGATGTTGTCACTGAGGCCCCTTAAACTATTCTTTTCATTTATTTTTTATTCTTTTCTCTTGTTGCTGTTCTGATTGGCTGTTTTCTGCTACTTCATCCTGATTTAATACTCTGCTTCATCTAATCTACTATTGATTCCCTCTAATGTATTCTTTATTTTAGTTATTGTATTCTTCATTTCTGACTGGTTCTTTTTTATGTTTTCTATCTCCATTTTTATATTTCATATCTCTGTTGAAATTTTCACTGAGATCATTGAGCATCCTTATAACCAGTGTTTTGAACTCTGCATCTGGTTGCTTGCTTGTCTCCATTTTGTTTAGTTTTTATTTTTTCTGGAGCTTTTTTTCGAGGGGGACATGTTTCTGTGTCTCCCCATTTTGGCTGTTTCACTGTGTTTGTTTCTATGTATTAGGTAGGGCTGCTATGTCTCCTAGTCTTCATAGTGTGACCTTATGTAGTAGGTGTCCTGTAGGGCCCAGTGGTGCAGTTTCCCTGATCACCTGAGCCAGACATTACAGGTGAATCTCTTGTGTGGGTTGTGTGTGCCCTCCTATTGTAATTGGGCCTTGGTTGCCGTTTGCACATCAATGGCAGAAATTTCTCTTCATGCAAATTGGTTGTGAGGACTGATTATGATTACAGCTGTTGTGCAGGGGCTGCCTCTACAGAGCAAGATTTGCTCTGGCACCTGCCAAGTCTGCCCTTTGAGTGTGTCATTTGTTGAGGTGATTGGGAAGTACTCTGGTGTGGTCTAAAGCTGGCCACTGGGTGTGTTGGTTCTGATGCTTCTTGAGAGGGGCTCTGTTGCAGGTTAAGTTTAGCTGCTGCCTGTGCTCTGCCTGAGTCTACTCTGTATTACCTACAGAAGGATCTGCAAATGATTGCCACTTGTGCTGGCTTTGGAGATATCTGGGAGAGGCTAAGCTACAAATCAAGGCTGGCTGCCACTGGTGCTGGGCTTAGGGTTACTTAGCAAGAGGTACGGGGCCAGACATTGCTTATTTGGAGTTTGTGAACCTTTGAGAGATCTTAGGAAAGTCTATAGCATGAGCCAAGACAGGCCATTTGTGTATAAAACACACACACACACACACACAGGAAGAAGTTTGGGTAGTCCTGAATGTTGGGTTGGGTAGAATCTCAGGGAATCACTTGAGCAGGGCAAATAGTGTTATCTAGGTTGAAGGATACTCAGACATTGTATCTGCTTGGTCTGCACACTGGGTGAGGGGAGGACTCAACAAAGGAGCAATGGCTTCTGCCAGCACTTCTGTCTGGAAGAAAGCTGTCCCTCCAGACTTTGCCCTGAAGCCAGGCAATTCAGTTCCTTCCCCTATGTCCCTGGCCCATTTGGAGTTCCTGCTCCATCACTAGAGGTCAGAGCAAGTAAGTCTGTTAGGAAGTAAGTCAGTGTATGGGCCCTTTAAGAGGAATGACATTTTGCCCACGCCACCTCTTATGGGTGTCGACAGAAAGCACATTTTTGATTTTGCTTCAGAAGTCAGTCGTTATCTCACCCTACAATTTTGACAGCAAAATGACACACAAAAAATTCTATACTCATGGCACAATATTTGTTATAGCAAAAACACTGGAAACGATTTAAATGTTTCTCAATAATGACTCTTTAAATAAATGATGGCATAGCCATACCAACATATTACACTCTTAAGGCAGTCATTAAAAAGAAGGAGGCACTTCTCTATTATACAGTGATCTGCAAGACACGTAAAGTGAAAACAGCAAGCAGCAGGACAGTGTGTAGAGTATGCTATCATTTGATCAAATACCTTGTGAATGCATTCCTAAGTGCATGTATTTTCCATTCAAATAAATTGTTTAAAAGTAGAATCATAAGCAGCCACTATCTAAAATGTTGGCGATTCCTTAAACGATCCCCTTTTAAATTTGTATTATATCTGACTTCTATCTTCCAGCCTCCATAACCAGTTAATAAAGTATCTAGTTTCCTTAATACTCTTTCTCATCATTATAAATGTGTAGAATTTCTTTTTATCTCTTCTTAACAGCTCAGTTGGACAAGGAGAAGAGGTGTCCCTCCTTAGCTGGTTTCTCATTTCATCATAGGATGGGAAGAAAAAAGGGCTAGAATTAGGATTGATGTACTAAGATGTGCAGAGAAGGAGCATCTCTGGCCACAGTCAGTTCCTGTAGAAAGGGACCCCATAACCAAACCTTTGAAACGTTCACTCCTTTCACCTCTTAAATAGAGGACCTTCTTTCTACTTTTCAAAGAAAGGGTTTTCTGTTTCTTCTCCTCTGTTGTGCTTTACTGGAGATGGCAGGCCTTAGAATTGGCCTTCTGGCACTTAAGAAAACATGCACACGTAAAGTTTCTCCAGGGTCAGGAAGCTGAAACTTCCAGACAAAAGGAATATAACAACAGACATACTGCCAGTTTCCTTCTCAATGAAGAGCCAACCAATCCTTGTGGCCCTTTAGCTGACCCCCTTGAAATTGAACTACTTCCAGGAATACTGAAACAAACATTCTAGGACATCTACATTAAGGAAACTTGAACAATTGATCAATCACTGTCCTTTGGAGTGCCTTAAATCTGACTTTTTGTGGTTTTTATGTAGACTTTTAGAATATTACAGAATAAGTGTAAATGGAGACAACCATTTTTTTCCTTCCCCAGTATTAGAGTTGCCAGTATCAAAGTTGGCAGATAAAAAATGTAAAGCTAGTTTGATTTCATTTCTGTGGGTTTTCCTTTGAACAATATACTCATATCCTTATTCTAATCAATAGAATTCAGGGGAAGCAAAAATTGAAATATTCATCTCACCTAGCAAGAGATAAAAAGAAGGGCATGAATTGTGGTTTTTCTTCATAACCATTTTAAAGTCAAAATAATTAGAACAAGTCTTCCTGGCATGATGTAGTATTTAAGATACTTCAAATTAACTTGGTACAAAATCTGCATGTGTTTGTTAACCGTATGTCCACACATACACATCCTCTTTCTGGTATGACTTTTGTGGGAAATTTCCTTTGTTGCCCAACAGTTATTAACCATTTGGGTTGATACTATCAATTTATTGGAAACTATTTTTGAAACTAGTAAGATTTAATCTCATACACCATGATCATTTGAGTTCATTAGTGAAGAACACCTATTTCTTTAAAATTACTCTAGAATTGATCAATATTGCCTTTTATTTAGACAATATCTTTCTCTGATTATCTTTAAACATTTTACACTGCTCTTCTTGTAGAACATACACACCCCTCTAAGGTCACAATGCCAAAATTTATCTATACTTGTAACATTTCATGGTATTAAATGTAAAATTTTATTTCAAGAACTTCCACAGCCTAGAGATAAATATAATCTAAGCACCGAGATAGTACATTTCAGGAAATAAGCTAGTATTTTCATGATAAATTTTAGATACCTATCATTTGTCATTCCAAAAGTTCCTTGCATTCTAGTTTTTTATGAAGTAGAGCTGATATTATTTATTACAATTCAATATAGAATATATATCAAAGTCAAGATAACAATCAATGTGCACAAAAATTTATATAACAAGAGGAACGATAGACAATGCAGCACCTTTAGAAAAAATAATTAAAAGCTGAATTTACAGGTAAGTGCCACACTGAGAATTTACAACACAGTAATTTACTGCAATCAGTGACAGAAGAGTTCCATAAAGAAACAAAGCTCTTACACTCCAGATTTTCAGAAGGTATTATAGGAATGCTTAATTGTAATCACAGAATTTGTACATCCTTAAGGGCTGATGTGGCGAAAGTCACAAAAGGTTTTCATAGCATATATTATATAAAAGAGTCCACTGTATTTGGACAGCTGGCTTAGTGTCTCTGACAGGTGTGAAGTCTAGAAGAATTACTGGCTTGATGGTGATCTTTCTGAATCTGGCAAGACAGACCTTCTTCGCAGTAACAACGCTGGAATATCTCCAGCCCATGGGAGCCTTTTCTCCTGTGCTTGGTGCACACTTGACCTTCTTTGAGGATAGGTTTACAGATTTTGGACCAGAAATGTCTAGCACAACACAACCCTGTGGCACAATCTGATGATCGGAGACAGACAGAACCTTCTTGTCCTAGGAAAGAAGAGACAATAAGAAAAGTATGTTGTCACTGCTAAACAGGCATTATTTCATTAAGATCCAAAAGACCCTTCTGATGTGTTAACAAAGAAGAATGAGTCTTAAGGTCCCTTAACCTACCTTGGTTATGATATGTTTTTGAAGATAGTGTAGTTCTTCCGGGGTACCCATCCAGGGTGCTGTGATCATTACCAAAGCTTTCAATAATGGTTTCCTCTATTTCCTCTCGATGGAAATTATTATGATCAGAAGGCATACATATTCCTAAGAAAGCAGGAGGCAGTGATTAACTCTCAAGCTGTAATGTTCTACTATTTACTTACAGCTGCAATAGTGGCAGTCTGTCATGCCGACACCAACTTGAGAGACCTCATTGCAGTGACATGATTTTAACCATAAGCCAAGAGTGTTAGGGCAAACCCCCAGATGGACAGAAGTATCAATGTGTACACTGTCAGGCATACACAACATCCCGAATATTGGCATTTAAAATACTTTCTTACCAACTGGGGTAGTGATAGTGAGACTTTTACCCATTTTTATATCACCCTTGGGGTAAGAAACAGAAAATTGATCACTTAAAAACTGTTTTTAAAAATAACTTCTCTGCTCTTGATGCTATATGGGTACTGCCAGACTAAGTTAAGCAAATATAACACCAGCTGCCTGGAAGATTGCAATCTCACCCATCAGTTACTTTACTGTGTAATTTCTATATTACAGAGATCTAGTTAGTTCATCCCGGAGTATTACTGTGTCCTAAGAAGGATCGCCACCCTTAAGTTTATTTCTGGAGTCTTCTTTGGCTGTCTGAGTCTACCTATTTGAGACATCAAATTTTAGTGGATCTGTGGTTGGGGAGAGGAGTACTTATTTTAAGGTAGCAGGAGATGGAGGCAGGGGGTAAGACGGAGAGGCCAGAATTCTCCTCTCTGGCAGAGACGAGATGGGCACTGTAAGAAAAATGGACAGGGCAGCTAAACTTCAATGGTGCTTTTCTTGGACTCTGTATAATCTCATCTCCCTCATCTTCTTTCTCAATTGACATAAAGGCTGTCCCAATTAAAAAAAAAAAATCTTTTATGGAGGGGTACACTCCGAGATAAGCTGTCATGTTAAATGAATGAGGAACACAGAGGAAGATAAGGAGCTCCAAGACCTGTACTTTTCTCTCCTCCGAAATAAACACTAGCAATGATGATATTTGAGAAGAAACTTGCATGCTGAATACCCATTTGCAGGTGGCGCCGCAGCACTTGCAGAGCAGAGAACGTTTTCTCCCATCCGCAGGTGAGCAAAGGCGGGACAGTTCGAGTCCAGTAGGGAGCTAAGGTACTCACCGTTTTTGCAGTAATTTCCGGGGCAGCACATAGCGTGACGCATGCAGCGTTTTCGGCGCTTCCTGCAGGTGAGGCAGATCTGCGCGCCGGCGCCCGTTCCGCGGGTAGGACTCGCGCAGTACTCATCCGTGCTGCACTCCTCGTCCTCCGCGCACGGGTACGGCTGCTGGGAGGGAGCCCGGAAAGGATGAGGCGCCTAGGCATCCAGGTACCCAAATTCCTGGACCTGGACGCTCATTACAGTTCTTTTCCGCCCATCTGTCCAAAAGCTACTGCTGCCCACTCCTCCCAAATGCAGTTTCCAAATGCACCCTGAACCGCACGCACTCGGCATGTTCGTTTTACACTCTTCTCCATAGATGATACCTCTTCAGGGTTACAGCGTTCCTAGATCCCCGGGACCCCTCTCACCTGGTAGTTGTCAACGGTCTGGTACTTGTTCCCTCCAACATAGAGAATTCCCGGAGCCGCGCTGACTGGGGAGCCTGCGTGCCCGGCAGCGCCGCCCAGCGGTGGGGGCAGGTTCTTGATGGCGTTGGAGTTGAGAACCGAGTTCAAGGTGGCACTCACTCCCAGCAGAGAGTGGCCGTAGAGAGCTGCCGCTACCAGGGCGACCAAGACCCGGGCAGCTCCCACTGCTCCCAGAGCCCTCATTTCGGAAGAACTCGAGAGAGAGAGAAAGGAGGAATATCACTTTGCAACCCTGATCCCCACGAAGCCGGGCTGGCGCGGCTGCAGAGTCGGGGTTCCGGGAGCCTCCAGCAGTAATACAGTCCCAACTGCGGGACGCATGGAGCTCTGTGCCGCCACTGCCACCGCCGCTGCCTTTATACTGCGGGCTCTGAGCATTCCAGCCCCTCCGGGGGAGACAACAAAGCCGGGATGGGATTTCAAAGCTTTGGGAGGGGCTGGGACGGGGTGTGTTTGTGTACTTGAAGGGGGGCCTTTGACACTCTTCACCCCGCCCTTCCTTAGCGCAGTCGTTCCCCTCGTGCAGCTCACCTTCGGAGTGATCGTAATCAGTGAGCATTAGAGCAGACGACTTTAATAAATGCCAGAGGGAAGAATTTTGGCAACTCGGGTGTCCTTGCCACGCAATAGGAGTTATCGGAATCTGAAATACTTTTCAGAATGGAATTGTGATGCTATCTGCAAAAGCTCTTTTCTCCTCTCTCTTATGCCTGTAGTGATATTTTTATTGTACACATAAATAATATTCAGTATTAAATACAGCACGATCAGTAATTCAAAGTCTATATCAAAACCTTTCATCGGGAAGGGCCAGGTGCCCAGTGCAATTGCTAATTAACCCTTTAGAGTCACGGTTTGCAGATTTGGGGTGAGGTCCTTCCTTGGCTTTAAGTTCGTTGATTTCCTCCCCTCTTCCTTCCTTCACCACCCCCTTCCCGCCGCGCCACCACGAGAAAAATGTGCAAAGAGAAGGAAATTTGCACATCAAACGAGGGTTAGAAGGAAAAAGAACTAATTCTCTTTTGATGGGAAGTTTAGAGAGGGAGGCGTGAGACTGGTGTTTGGAAATTAAATCACGGTGGAGAAAAGAGGGAAATGACCATCCGATAATCAAACTATTTAATGTTCTTTGAATCTGAGCAGTCGCAGCAGTAGATGAACTTGATTAGGCAGACAGGCGAGATCAAAGTGGCCAGAGCAAAAGCGGACAGGGTCCAACGGCCGGGTCAATCGTCCTTCGCTGGTTCCCCCTTCTCAGTGGTGGGTTAATGCAGGGAGAGATAAGAAACCCTTAAGGCCTAGCGCCCGACTTCCTCATTAGTATTTCATATCGCAAAGCTTGAGAATGCCTGTGTTTGATCCCAAGTCAGACCCTTCCTGGACCAGGAATACCCCGTCTAGGGAGATAAGAGACTAACTTCAGGAAAAGAGAAGCTGAAAGTGAACTAGAAAGTATATGTTATGCCATTTATGTCATAATATACAAATAATAAAGTATGTAAGAATGCTGTCCTGCTTATAAATTAAAAAATATATATATTAAAAAAAAAAACATATTGGAAGCCGAGTGCCCTACCATTGGGCTACTCTCTGAGTTTTACCCTTTTTGGGGTGAGGGGCACAGTGAATACAAATATTTGAGACTATTCTAATTATAATAATAAAAGAAGCAGTATACACAATTCTATTTTAAAAAGGTTGATGTCAGAAAATGAACAATTGCTATGAAAATTTAGAAAAGGAAGAGATGATTGAATAATCACTAATGTATATGTTTATTTTGTGCTCCATTACCTCTAGGATATTTATAATTACACACTGACCTACTACATCTATAATTGGGACCATGACCAGGTATAGTCAGTGATAGTCTTGAAGTAGAATGATCCCAAAGTTAAGAAGGGGACGGGTACATTTTTTAAAAAAGTTTGTAATGGTCTGTGTTCTAGTTCCTTGGGTTTCAGAGGTCATATTAAGAACCTCTTCTAAACAAATTTTTAGTAATGCCTCTAATTACACTGGTACCTCTCCTATCCCAAATTCTATCAGTCCTATGCAGTTTCCTCTGGCTTATTGATAACTCTACTTGAAATTCAAACATGAATTAAATGCCACATATTCCTTTAGGCCTTATTAAGATCCATGATCTAGATTTGGCTACAATTTGGAACAAATTGAAATTTTGATACAAAGGAGAAATTGTTTATATTAACTTTAGAAAATGAGCCTAAGAAACAAGTAAATCACTATATCTTTTATTGAGAATCAGGAATGAACCAGGTCTCTCTTGGGCAGATATGGCCCTATCCTTGGTTTACCTGAAGTTTGTATAGATGGGGAGGTATTATAGAGTAAAAGGGGAAAGGTATAAGGGATTTTTAGATGCCATATTAACATTTGTGGAATAGTAATTACAATAACCAACATGTCAATAATCAACATGTTGCGCACCTTCAGTGTGGTACAGAATCTATAGTTGGTCTTAAATTCTTAAGATGTTGAAATGTGGAGAAAGAATTTCCTGACCTTGGGAAATGTGAAATGTTACTTTCTAGTCTCGTTTTCCTAAATATTCCCAGTATATGTGAATAATACATATAACAAATTCAGTCCATTAAGAAATGTGTATGTCCACTGGAGTTTAATCGTCGTTAAGCTTGGACAGAATCTGTTGTGTTGAGTTAGGAAAGCTAAGCCAAGTATTGGGTTTCAAGAGCAGAGTAGATCCTACCTCCTTCCTCTCTTTCCAAGATGCCCTTGAAGTTGCCATGATTCGAAAGCTAATAATGAATTGGTCGATATCTGAGTTCCTACTATGTGCTAAGCATGGTACAGTGTGTGTGATAAAAGACAAGGACTCATTATCTTCAAATAATTGATCAGGAAGAGGGGAGGGAAACTCACAAATTATATAGGAGAGAAATTATGTAGGAGGCAGGTAGGCAAGCCAAATCTTTGTTCCAAATGGGAATATTTATTTTTGCAGTGGAGTCTCCATTTGAAAATACTTTTAATGATTGAGTTTGCTCACTGGCAACAAAAGAGCAGGGTGGGTAGACACATAAAGTGAAGTTCATTGCTCCATCAGCAGCCCATTGAAATTTGATAAGTGCCCATTATATGCAAAATGCTACCCTAGTACTTTAGGGCATGCACCCCCAAAATATTAAATGTAGGCTCCTTGTCCACAGAAAGTTTTCAGTCTATGAGTAAATGGGGAAACAAATATGCTTAGGAATGCAGGTTAAATTTTTTTCCAAACAGATTGTATTTTGGCACATGTTAGGTCATAGGGAAAATAGAAAAAGGTTCAGGAATTATGACCAATTATGGCCTTGAGGAAAGAGGGTTCTGCTGACTCTCCTACAGCTAGGTGACAGATGGTGGGGGTCAGGGCAGGTATAGTTAATTTATTACACTGAGTTTATTTAGTTCTGTAGGAAACCCTGCCTCCTATTTGATCTGATTTAAATATCACCATATTTAATACAATGAGTTATAATATTTTGTATTAAATTTTAAAATAGGTAAAATATGTTTATCAATGTAGAATCGAACCTCATAACTCAGTAATATCAGATAATGTGTACCTTCCTCACATTTTAAGTGCTGTGTGCCAAGAGTAGAATATTCATCAACCTCTTCATCCGTGGGGAAGACAAATACACTCCCAAAAATGCCATGCTGTTTGCAAACTATTTTTCCATCTTTGTTATTTGAGATTCTTATGTGACTGCTACATTTTTAATTCCCTCCCTTCCTTCCTTTCATTCCTTCCTCCTTCCCTCCCTTCCTTTCCTCCTTTCATTTTTTCCTCTTTGTTAAATCAAAGGAAGCAGATCTGTTGCCATTTAATTTTACTTCGCTAGGAAAAATTGAATAAATGTCATTCCTTGTGTTGAGTGTTGCCAACATTTCTGTGGGTATCAATCTTGAATTTTAATGGGGATTCCTCATTGCTGAGATTAGTTTAAAAAAAAAAAAAAAGTTATGACTTTCTCATTGGCCTTTAAAAGATTTTGGTCTTAATGCTCTTCATGATGTTAAAAGAGCCTTTAGACCAGGACCCTGTTACCACTCCTGAGAGGCTGGATTAGGCTTCCCTGCACTCCTCAGTACACAGGGTAGGCGAGATTTGACAATGATTATGTTTATTCAGTCATTAGAGATGGCCAGCCCAGATAAACCAGGCTCCACAGTAGCTTTTTACCCCAACTCAGGAGATGTGTTTTAAAGGAGTGGGATATTAAAATCTAATCTGAGAATAGATCACAGACCCAGAAACTTTTGACTAAAAACCAGAGAAGCCCTTTTCTGATTTCCTGACACTCAGAAAGGTCTGTGGTATGTAGTTACAGGGAGTACAAAACAGCCCTTAACATTCTCTTAATGAGTTTGACATTTCCCATCATAAAGATCCACCAATGACAGCAGAAAGCAAGATCTAGAGCCTCTTGAAGTAGTCTCCAGAGCCAGAGAAAAATCATTTCCCTCCATGCCACTAAGTTCTTATTATTACTTCCTTTATGATGCAGTTGCTTTCCAAAGGTCATGGCCAAGTATCGTGTGATATTGTCAGGAGCCTGGGCCGGAACTCTGTCTAATGGGGACTACTACTGTGACAGCCGCTAGCTGGCCGGCAAATATGGGACCATGATCAAGTCATTTAATTATTTCAGTGTTGGTATTTCACTTAAAAATGACATGAAGGGGGAGCGGAGAGGTCCTTTATGACTACAAAAGTTTGTATCTTCTCTCTTTCTCTCAGTGAACGGCCAGGACAAGGCCTTTTGTATTCTGATTAAATAAGAACATCTTGAAAGGAGCCTGTTCCTTCAGGTAGCCTAAAGATAAATTACTATTCACTGACATCAATACTGTATTTTTATTTTGAAGAAAATGTGAGGTTTTTTTTTTTTAAAGAAATATGTAAGTTTTAAGTATCCAAAAGTAAGGTGAATTAGTTGAACTAGGTGATTTGTTTAAAAATGTGGATATATATTTAAAAGATAGATATATTTATATATTTATACATAGTTTTATATATATTTCTAAACTGTCATACCAGTTCTTGGAGAAAATTTAGCAAATACAGAGAAGTCAGAAATCAAAAATAAATGACTCATGCAATCCTACCACTCAAAGGAAATCACTGTTAACTTCTAGTTTCTACGTGCACATGCATACATATGGAGAGAAAGCGAGAAAGAGAGAAATGATTTTCCTTCACAAAATTAATAGTTATGTTTTAGAGCTATTTTTCAACTATTACTAAATCTCAAATTGGTCAATTATAATGAGACCTTGAGGTGAAAAATAGAAAGCAGGA